TAGCAATTTTTCTTTGTGTTTCAAAATTTCAATATGACCTTTTAAATAAAAAAATTTTAGTTAGGGTTGATTGCAAATCAGCCAAAGAAATTTTGCAAAAAGATGTCAAGAACCTTGCATCAAAAAAAAATTTTGCTAGATGACAAGCAATTTTAAGTGTTTTTCATTTTGACATTAAGCTTCTTAAAGGAAGAAACAAATACCATTAACCTTGGAAATGAACTTTACAAAAACACAACAAATTCATCCATAACAGTATACTAGAATAGCATCAATTTTCTCATAGATAAAAAAAACAAATTTAACCAACTCTCATAAGAAAAAAAAAGTAATTGAATACAAGAGGAGGCCATAATCTCTGTGACAATTGAGACAGGATATTGTGAGATTTAACTATTCTAACCTCACAACAAGGAGACAATAATCTCTGTGCCAAATAAACCACTTTTTGAAGTTGGAAACTGAAAAGATGTGAGCCAATTGTGTCACAAAATTTCAACTCAGATCTTAAATTCAAAATTTTCAAACTTTTTAAAAAGAAAAATCACAAAATTTCAGAATAGCTTTTGAAACCGTCACCTAATTTTTGCCTCTAGCCACTTTTGTTCCAATCTATTATATATGATGCGATTGAGATACAGAGGAAACAAAAAAATGGGTGCTTGAGAATGGAAAATGATATTGAAAGAAGGATGAAGGTGAGAGAGTGAAGTGGGAAAGAGAAATAGGAAGTGTAAAAGAGTTACAAATGGATAAAGTCGAAAGATAAATTGTATAATATGTATGTAATAATAGTGGCGGTTTTAGGATACACATTTCACTAATTTTTTTATTTTGGTTAAAACCCTTATTTGGTCCCTTATAATATTTTTTTGTTTCAATTTAGTCCCACTTTAATTTTTGGTTTCAATTTGGTCCCCAATAATTTAAATTATTGCAATTTGGGACTTCCTTCCAAATGATTTAAACGGAGTTAACTGTTGGCCACATGGATGTCAAGTGGATGCCACGTAGATGCGTAGGTGGATCCCAAATTTCTTGAATACACTTGGAACCAGAGCGACCCGTTCTGAAACTAGAACGACTCGTTCTGGTTGCACTCTTGGTGTGTAAATTTTGTACCTGGAACGGGCCGTTCTAGATGCAAAATTAACACACCAATAGTGTAACCAGAACAGGTCGTTCTGGTTCCATAATTTCTCGTGCACGAACAAAAACTACAAAGCATTTCAAACACTAGATTTGGTAATATTGTCAATGGAGATTGATAACTTCAATTGTTAAACATTTGGGCTATACAATGTATCATTAAGGACGATGCAGTGTATCACTAAGGACAATGGTAGCAGGTTTTATTTCATTGTTAGTCAAATTGGAGTTAACCACTTACTACCAAATTGACACTATACAGTCAAGGATGAAATGAAACGGTGTTTCCCCTTGAAGTCATTGACGATGTACCCCAACAATAACAATCTATTCTTGAGGAGGTACAACTTGAATTTTTGTGGTTTAGGGTTTCCCTTCAGCGTTACCTAGATGATTTCTTTTCTCAGTAATTTCTTTGAACTTTTTTAGTATATGTTATGATCTGAATTTTTATTTTCAGTTTCTGAATTTTTGTTTTCAGTTTCTAAACCATGTTTCTTTCTTTAAATTTATGATATGTTATGAATTTTTATTTTCAATTTTTGAATTACATTGCGACATTTTGGTCAAGATTTTAAACTGGATAAGTTCAAATCAAAGAATGATTTTGGAAGGTCTTATCTTATTTGATTTTTTTTAGTTTTATTCATAAATGAATATTAATTTATTATATTTTTTATTTATTGTATTTTTATTAATATATATATATATATAACAAAAAAAATACAATAAAAAGTATGAAGTTGGCGTTCTGAAACGGACCGTTCTGAATCCACAACGGCCCGTTCTAATAGCAGAACGTCCCGTTCTAGTTTCATAACGGCTCGTTCTGATGCACTCATGTTGTGTTAAATTTGCATTTGGAACGGCCCGTTCCAGTTGTAAAATTAACACATAACATGAAATTTGACATTCACCTATGCATCTACGTGGCATTCACCTGACATCCACGTGACCAATAGTTAACTCCGTTTAAATCATTTGGACGGAAGTCCCAAATTGCAATAATTTAAATTATTGGGGACTAAATTAAAACTAAAAATTAAAGTGGGACTAAATTAAAACAAAAAAATATTATAAGGGACCAAATAAGGGTTTTAACCTTTTATTTTTTATATTTATTTATAAATAAAATATTTATTTATTTTAATATAGGATAAAATAGTAACTTTAATTTTAAAATTGTTCATAATATTAGACTTACATATCTGCATGTTCCATTTTTATGTTTTAAAATTGGTCACTAGCATATAAAGAGGAATACAGCTACGTTCACAATTTTTATCATAGGATTGATTTTGATATTAACTCCCATGTTCACAAATTTTTTTTAATAGAAATCAATTATAATATTAACTTCCACTTTTACGTTTTTAAAATGGTTAGGTTCATGGTATACAACCTCATTTCTCTTCCGTATATTATACGTAGAAAATTGATAAAATTAAAAAAAAAAATTGTGGTTAACTTTGGAATAATGAGATAATTAAATAAATAAATTAAAATATTAAAAATAATTAAATAAATTATTTAAGAGATAATAATATTTAATATTTAAGTTATTATTTTATAAATTATTTAACATAAACAATATTTTATTTTATTTTATTTCAATATAATATCAAAATGATAACTTTAATATTAAAATTGTTCACAATTTTACATTCATATAACTACAACATCCTACATAACTTTTGATGTTTTCTTATTAACTTTTATGTTTACTATTTTTTATTAACTTCCACCCTTTTTATTAAAAAGACTCCATTTCTTTTAATTTTGTTTAATGTGACTTTTACATTTATAGAGAAACTTTAAATATTTAACTCTCTCTACAATTAGGTTCTCTTTTTTTCTCTTTACATTTTTACTTTTTTATTTGACTGCATCAACTCATGTACATTTCAATTATTCTCAATCAATTGGTACTTGTTGTAGCTTTCCAATTTTGAACTTCCTAAATCAATAGGCTCATACCATTACTATTTCACATAAAGTTTTACCGTGAGTATCTTTCATCTAACTATTTTTATATTTCATTTCTTTTCACATATTTTTATATTTCATTCTTTCTATTTTTTGCGCTTAATTTTTCCTACATTTTTATGCATTTGTAGAGGAGTCTCAAATGCTTAACTCTCTCTCTCTACAATTAGGTTCTCTTCTTTTTTCTCTACATTTTAACTTTTTCATTTAATTGTGCACCAACTCATGATTATCTCTAAAATATTTTTTTTAATGAATATTAGTATAGATAAAGTTAAAAATGTCTACGAGTCCTATGTAAAACAGGATCTACATTGTAAATGAAGTATAACTTCTATTAATAATGTAGAATTGCAATGTCAATTCCAAAGAGCTCAAAATTTTCAAAATGCTATCAGAATGATCTAATTTTCAATTGTCTACTCCAAGTACATGTACACATTGTAATTCATGGTTATTTTATAATGATTCATGCGACACATGTTGCTTTACGAGAAGGTTTCATTTTCACATGTTAGTATTCTTTAAAAATTGCTAGGAATTTATTTAGACGCTTGGTCTAAAGAAAGACATTTTAGGCAACATATTAAAAATTATAATCATATTCTTTCGTTCAGATCACTTAGTGTTCATATTGATAAAGAAAAATTTCATGCAACTAGACGTGATATATATAACTTTCATGTGCAACGAGCTATATATCACAATATAAGAGGATTTTATCAAGATGAGGGTTCCAGGCCACATTTCTTGCAATTGTACATCTATGAATTGCAAAATAGGATGTTGGAAAACCCTCAACTACATCAAGCCATGGTTTATAAATTACACAAATATCACATCATTACAATCCTATGGTACATGTATTTAGTCAACTTGCATTACGTCCAAACATTCACGAGTGTAGTTTACTCATTAAAGAGCATCTTATTAATCAATCACAATATAATTTCCCAACTACTTCACAAGTTGCAGTAGTTATTGTCGGTGGAGATATCAATAATAGTTGGATAAGATATCAATGTGGTTAAACATGATTGAAATTTAATGAAGATTCAAGAAATTATGGAATATTATGATCCTTTTCAATATCCTTTATTGTTTTCTTTTGGAACATATGATTGGGAAATATTCCAGTTACATGATACATGCACTTACCATTTATTTTGTCTCTATTTATCAAAACCCTAATTTTGATATAAATAATATAGTCAGGGTTTGATTCTTCATAAATTCGTCCCAATGGTCAATCTATATTATTAAATTTATCCTCCTAGACTATTACCGAACACCATTTTAGCCATTGCGGGAGAGGAACATTTTAGAACTTCCAAGTGGTTTTATATTTTTAGATGATTTTGTCTCATTAGATAAAGTTCCTTTCTTCCATGGACAAAAAACTTCGACATAATAGAAGGCGAAATTCTTTATATTCTGATTTCTATAATGTATGCAAAATGTTTTCTTGTTGAAATAAATAAAAATGTATACATCATTTTACTTATGGACTAGAAAAAACAGATAACTTGCAATTCAAAACTCAATAATCCTATGACTCAGATGAAATAACATAATACATACAACTGTAATGGTTATCAAACCTAATCAAAAATAAAACTTTAAATATTAAATATGTTTAAATTCGTCACAAATGGGACAATATTTATTTTTAATCATAAAAAAAAAGCTACCATTTTTAGTCTCCCATTTATAGAAATGAATCATGTGTGAGCTCTTTTTTCCATAAACGAGAAACAAGGACCAAACTTAATACATTTCCAAATCTGAGGGATTAAAAGAAAGCACCTTTTTTCAATCAACTAAAAAAATTGTTATTTGTGTATTAATAGGAACTAAAATATATGTAACCCAAATCCAACACGTATATTAGTTTTCTAAAACATATCGTAATCAATTCAATTCAAATCAAATTGAAAATCCTAATATGACAATATATTTCTAAAACACAATCATTTAACAAACAAAATATTTCTAAAAAAAAAAGTAAAATCCTTAAATAAGAGTAACAAAAAATTATCTTAATTCATTTAGAATCAAAAGGCTGAAGGCTCCCTTATGCATAAAAGGGCAAGCATTCCCGGTCCCAAGTCAATATCCGTGATAGAGGATCATCAACACGATTCTTCAACAAATATCTTATCAAATACAAGTTGAACTGCAGCCAAAAGTCATGCAACAAGAAATGACATTAGTATGAGTTTAACTCACCAACGGTTGGTGTAAAAACTTTTTCAAACTATCATCCAAGTCCAATCATGTGTTTGCCACATCCATATTCCATGATAGGTACCAGAGAATGAAAGGAATAAAAAAGAGCAGATTCCAAAGTACTATATTTTTAAGATGAAGTCAGGCTTGTATCAAGGTGATATCAGATCCTGAGTTTCTGAAACAGAAGTAGGAAATGCAGAGCAATAAATAAATAATAAGAAATCAAGTCTAGGCAATTTGAGAGTCCCAATTTTTTCTCCCAATGGTCCAACTAATTCCAGCCTACCTCACTTCTCCACACTCCTCTTAACACCCCTTTACAACCAAATCACACACTCACCCCAGTCACCTCCCCTCCAGCTCAACACTTAGTTACATTTAGTTCCATACTGGAGACTCCCCTTCTTTATTTCTGTTTTCATCTTAGGGATCTTATCCTTGAACTATACAAAAGACAACATATCTTAAAAGTTAAAAATGTTTTATTGTACTAGAGTATCTATATTTTTTCTTGCCTCCCCCTACCCTCAAAACAAAGTGCGGAACATCTGTACAAATTAATAAACTATCCATTTTGTTCCATTTTCTATGTTTTACATATTTGCTTGTCCTAAAATAGGTTAGCACAAGGTCAGAACCTTCAGTAGACAACTTCCACCATTGTCTTAGAAAATTGGGTAAATTACATAAGCACTCCTTGAGGTTTTGTAAGATTGAACAGACACTCCTTTTTTTACCCCTACAATAACCCCTCTTAATTGTTTGAAAATAGTTACATTAGCACCTCTTAGACATTACATTAACCCCCCTTAATTATTTAAAAAACATTACACTGCAACTCTTATAGTGAGGTTACTGAACATTAAAAAAACAAGGGGTGTCAATGCAATTTCAGAAAATCTGAGTGTCAGTGTAATTTACTCTAAAAGTGTTCATAATTACAAAGATCCTAGTTACATATTAAATCATAAAAAATAAAAGGAATAAATCCTAAGAGATCATCGAGGATACTCTAAAATATTATAAGATATAAAAATTAAATTACCAGATATTTCTTAGATTTTCTAACATTTTGTTTCACATAACAATTATACTTGCAGTTCTAGTCATGCTTCCCCAAGTCTCAAATTTTACAAACTCCAATTTAGTTCAGAACAGTTGAATCAAATTTGACATCTTATAAGTAAATCACAGTGTATAATAGTAGATTCTATTCATTAACAACAAAGTAAATGTGAACTTCAAATTCAAAATATTAATACTTCAATGGTGATCTAAGGATCATGAGTCCTAGAAGCATATAGAGGTCTAACTCAAGTCTCAAAATGAATCATCCTTAATGATTATATAAGCCTTACATAAAATTATTAAAGTAATGGTGTGGACAAGCATATACATTCTTTTAATTGGTAATGACAAAAAAATCACTTCTACCCCATAGATAACTTTAGCATACCTTCCTCAGTATGGAGATTGGGTTGATCAACCAAGAGTTGCTGAAGTGCACCAAGATCACTGCCACTGCAATGCAGTTAATGCAAAGTAACCCATACAGCACAAAATAAAACATTGGACACCACCAACAGAAGTACAGGCATTAGAAAATGAAAAACAAGCATTGTGAATAAAGTACATGATAAATCTTGGTATCTTTGTGCATATAGAAATGGATGCAAGTGTAAATGAATACATAGATCACTATTTTGCATCTTTGCCTTTGTTTTCTTTTTCTTAGTCCTTGTTGCATTTATTTTATATCATAAGCTCTCCTAAACACTTACACAAGTGCTTATGTCATAATATGTTATAAATAAGTTCTTCCAAACAAACCCAAAGTTCAGATGCCAGTCTATTTGCAAACTAGTAGTCGGAAATGTCAAAAATAGAAGAAATTTGGCTGAGTTGGGTTTCTTTGATAAGGATCTTGATAGAAAAGATTTTGATGCTAAATTTTTCACACCTTCACCTCACTGATGATTCAGATCTCTTCTTGGAGGAATATAATTATATCTTTGTGAATGTTTTACTTCTGATTAATATTATACCAAGTTTATGGAGGCCGTTTAATTGGTTTGAATGGGGATAAGAAATTTCTTCTTTTAAATGCCTTTGTGAGACTCTCATTTACTTTCTCACATTTATAGTCAAAGAAACAAAATGCACACGAGCACGCTCAAGCATGGACATACATGTAACCAAGGTTGTCAATCTCGAGAGTTTACGTAATCTCGTGGAGGCTCCGTAAACTCGTATCGTAAACTCGTCTCGTAAACTCGTAAGAGATTACTTAATAATAAATAAATAATTAATTATTAAAAATAACATAATAATTGAATATTTTAACTCTATATTAAATAGTAAAATAGAAAATTACATTAATAATAAATGTTCTTAACACAAATTCTTAACAAAAGTTCCCACAAATGAAAAAACACAAGTTCTTAAAAATAGACAAATAAAAAAATATTAAAATTTAAAAACCCTAACCAGGTTCGCACAAAAGTGAGTCGCGCACGGAGAAGAAGAACAGCGGAGGCGGAGACGCAGAGGAGAAAGAGACGCGCGGAGGAGAGGCGTGCAGAGGAAGCAAGGCGCACAGAGGAGGCGAGGCACGCACGGAGAAGACGAGGAAACGCGGAGGAGGAGCCGCGGAGGAGAGGAGGCGCACGGAGGAGGAGCCGCGGAGGAAGAGACGACTAGGAGAGGAAACAAAGAGGAGAGGAGACGAGGCTAAATAAGTGTCCTAACACACAAAACACAAAACATGCGTTTTGTGTAAGTGAAAAAAAAAAAAAAAGGGGATCTCTTAATATCGGAAGGGATCTCGCGAGATTACCGAGATTACTCCGAGATTACTCAAAAACGAGTTTACCTCCGAGTTGTACAGGTAAGCTGTCCTAAACTCGTAAACTCGTAAGAGTTTACGAGTTATCACTAGAGATTGACAACCATGCATGTAACAGCCCAATTTTCACAGTTTGTACAAAGGCCCAAAGCCCAATAAGGATGATTTAGTAGCCCAGAACGGGCCGTTCTCAAACTGGAAAGGGTCATTCCAAACCACTAAACTTGCCTACAAATCTTAGTTGAGAACGGGGCGTTCCAAACGATCAAAATGGCTTATAACCCTAGTTGGGAACGGGATGTTCTGATTTAAGAACGGGCCGTTCCAAACATGGCCGTTATGGGCTAAAATGAAACCCCAGAACAGGCCGTTCTGGTTTTAGAACGGGCCGTTCCGGATTTGAAACGGGCCGTTCTGGCCATTCTTAATGCCTATAAATAGCACGCTCTGGCACTCCCAAAAACACACTTTTCAATTCTGACTTCTTTTCCTTCTACATTCTCTGAAGACCGAGGGGAACCTAGAAGAGGAGACCAACCAGATCCTGCTCTAGTTTCAACTACTACCTATCGAGGTACGGGGGAAAAGAGAATTAATTATATGCAAAGTTACATAAGGAATTGGGTAGAGGAGGAATCCCGTAGATTATGGGTAATTTTATAATTATTTCTGTTTGAGAAATTGATGATCCCATTAGATTTTGCATGTATTGAGAATTAGGAATATGCCAATAATTTGTAAAAATGATGGTCTAGGAGAGAGAACGAAATCATAGAAAAGTGTCTGTGAGTTAGGTTTTGGAAAAATCAGAGGTTTTACTATTTGAGTTAAGATTCTACAGAATTGATGATTCAATCAGGTTTTATATTAATTTATAAATGTTATTGTTATATTATTTGGTAAAATTGGTGATCTAGATATGGAATGTGGTTTGATGCCTTCGTACAAATGTATACATTATATCTACTATTTTAATATTGAATTGATAACATGATGTGGCGAATGGTATGTTATGACTTAATTGTTCAATTAATTATGATGCGAGTATGTGGACATGAAATGAGATGTTGTGTAGAATGCGAATGTGATGTGATTGTGGTTCCTCACACTTATGACCAGGGGTGGCACGACTTTGGGTAAGTGATGCTACAGGGGTGGCGTGACCTTGGCATAGTGTGGGATGTGTGAGGCAACTAATACGTATCACTTATGTCAAGGGTGGCACGACCTTGGGCAAGAAATGCTACATGGGTGATGTGACCTTGGATAACATGTCAGGGATGGCACGACCTTGGGCAAGATATGCTACAGGGATGGCATGACCTTGGCATAGTGTTAATTGCAAGATTTGTGATGGATTGGTGTGATTGTGAAATTGTGATGTGAAGTTGATGCATGATTGATAGAATTATGATATGTAGAAATGATTGTAAATATTTCATTATGTAATGAGTTATGATGAGATTATATTATGGTGTGTTTGTATGTGCTTTACATATAGATTTTTTTCTTTTCTCACCGTATAATTTGTGGATGTTTTAGGTGAGGAAGATTCGGCTTTGAGTGGCATCTAGAATGCCAACAATTTTATTGTGGGTGTGCTCTGATATTGTGACATCGGGGCAAAGGATTCTAGGATATAAATTTTTATATGTATTTGGAGTTGTACCTTTTCTTTTGAAAACAATTTGTAAACTCTTAAGTTTTACTTTCCAAGTTTTATTTTCAATTATTTTGGATATTGAAGAACAATTATGAAGGTTTTATGTGAACCCTTCTACCAACGTTGAAAATTTTATTCTTTAGTTTATTTACATTGTTACAATATATATGTGTTAGGGTAGTAAGGGTGTCACATTTAGTGGTATCAGACAGGTCGATCCAATCGGCCTTGAGTTATGAGTCTACTATGCTTGTTTGGTAGATGAATGATGGAATGAATTGATTGTGGAATTTATTGATATGCTAGTATGATGATTGATTATGTTTGTTGTTATTTAATTGTGTGTACTCTAACAATGTTTTGTTTTATGATGAGGATAATGATGATGATGATATTTCCCTTGTGTTGCTAGTGTTGTGCTTACTTGTGTATTGTTTTCTCAGAATTTGGCTGAAAGACTTGATATAGCTTAGTTGATGCAATTCATGATTGCTTATTTGTTTTGATATTTCTTGCTAACATAAGAAGTAGTGGTTGAGTGGTATCGCTCGTGTTGCAAGCATATGTGCCAGTAGTAGTGGACGAAGCCTTGTACTAACCAACTAGAACTATTAGAACCTTGGATGTGGGTGAGACATTGATTTGTCGAGTGTATTAAGAGTTTACGATTGGTGGTGTTTCTGAAATCTATAATTGTAGAGATTGAATCCAAGGAGGTTGTATGTTGAGAATTGGAGTTTTGGTATTCTTAAGGAGAGATTGAAGTGTTGATGTTTTCTGGAGTTTGATGCTTGCATGTTGACTTTTTACGGTTTAGGTTGCATGTGGATTTTATTTCGGTTTCTAAGTCTTTTGTGCTGAATATGTGAGTTATTTTGGTTTAGGATTGTAGTAGGAAGCTTGGATGAGTTTGAAGTGAAAGGAGCGAGTTTGGAAGGGTTGAGGTATTTTTGTGGCCTTAGATGTTGATACACTATTGTTGTCTGGTGTAGGAGATGTTTTCGCTGCAGTTTTGTTGTACCAGTATGAGTATCGTATGGACATAATTAGATTTAATCTTTAGGAAAGTTGAAGCCTTGGATGTTATCTTTTCAGTGGAACTGGAATCAGGAAAAACGGAGGTCTAGAACTCCAGTTATAGTTGCTTGGGTGATCAAAGGTCTAACTATAAGTGCTGAATATATCTGTTGTGGTTTTGAATATTTAGCTAAGAAGATGATCTTTTTAGAATCTCATGTCTTCATAAGAGTTGTAGCTTATTCTCTTAGTCTTCTTATGTGATAGGTTTGAGACCATATGGATGAGTATAATTCTTTATGTATCATTTTCTTTGACAGTTATTGAAGGGATATGTATGTTATCATGATGTTTTTGAGTTATTAGGCAATGCAAGGATAAAACTGATTTGGTTATAATATTTTGAGGCCTTGTTATATGGATTGAAAGGTTGTTTAAGGTTGTATGATGCTATGTGGTAAAGTTGGTTCATGTATATGCTATATGAAGTAAACGGTGATTGATTCGTACATGCTTAGGGATGGTATGAAGATTTAAAGTAGGTATTCTAATATGATTTGATATGCATTTATGTTGATATGAGGATAGATGACCTTATGGATCAATTAGTGAATGTTTGTGTGTTTAGTGAGATTAACCTTAGGATGTGATATCATCATATTGGAAGTTGAGAGTGAAGATGTATCCAAGATAGTTTTACGCTAAGTTATCTAAATATGATTTTTGGTTATATGAAGTGAGTTTTCTAGGCCCTATAAATTCTAGGGGAGGTATAACATATATCTACCTAAGGTAGAAGTTGTGCTTAATGGGAGATACCAAAAGTCAATTAGTGAGGTTAGAAGTTTTCTTGGGATAGTTTATAGAAGATTTATTGAGGAAATTTCTAAGATAACATTACCTTTGACTAGATTGACTAGGAAGAGTGTTGTCTTTGTGTGGGATAGTACGTGTGAGAGTAGTTTCCAAACTTTTAATGAAAGATTGACTAGTGTGTCAATGTTAATATTACCGGATTTTGGTAAGTCTTTTGTGATGCTTCTAAGTTGGACTTGAGAGGAAATACCTTACCCATGACTTTAAGTTAGTGGTTGTAATATTTATACTAAGATTTGGAGACACTACCTATATGATTCTAAGCTTGAGGTATTTAGTGATCATAAGAGCCTTAAATATCTTTTGACCAAAGGAGTTGAATATGAGACAAAGGAGATAGTTGGAATTTCTTAAGGAACAAGATTTTGATCTTATTTGTTATTTGGGCAAAGCCAAGGTGGTGACCGATGTTTTGAGTAGGAAACCTTTATATTTATCTTCCCTTACCTATATGGATCTTTTGGCTCAAATTAGGGGTTTAAGTTTGACTGGTGAGATTACTCCTAGTAATGTGAAACTGGGTATCCCTCAAGTAACAAGTGGATTGTTGAAAGAAATTGGAAAAGCATAATTAATTGATTCATTTTAGTGACAAGATATGAGGCTATAGAACATGGTAATGGATAAGAGGTTGCCTTAAGTATAGATGGAGTGGTAAGACTTTGAGACCGAGTATGTGTAACTAGTGAACTTATGCTTAAGCGCTTGATCTTTGGAGAGAGTCATAAAAGTAAAACTAATATTGTGGCAGATGCCTTGATTAGGATGACCATTTACCTATCATCTTTGATGATTTAAAGGTTGAATTTAATTGAGGAGGTTAGAGACTTAGGCGTGATGTGTGAGCTCACCCTTAAGAGCATTGGATTGAGTATGTTGGAAAGGACTAATAGATTAATGGATGAGATTAGAGAAACCCAAGAGTTAGATCCTTTCTTAGTGAACCAAGTGAAGAGGATTGGTAGAGATATAAATAGCCTTACGAGTGGAAGTTGATGAGGTTTTGGGGTTCAAGGATAGAACCTATGTGCCTAGTAATCCCGAATTAAGGAAGATAATCTTAGAGGAAAGACGTAAGAGTATTCTTAGCATTCATTTAGGAGCTACTAAGATGTACCAGAGTGGCGCAACGGAAGCGTGTAGGTCTAAGATGAAGAGAAGAGTAGAGGAATTTGTGTACTCGTGTGAAGTATGCCAAAAGTCTAAGATAGACTCACCAAGTTTGCTCAACTTACCCTTATTGATATTAGATATTCTTTAGAGAGATTGGTAGAGATGTACCTTCGTGGGGTAGTGAGGTTATATGAATTTTCCTACTAGTAAGAGGACTGAAGAGACTATGACTTACGAATTAGCAAGCAAGATGCGAGGAGCCTACCTATTTATGTTTTCAGATGAATTTCGGGGACGAAATTTTTAAAAAGAGGGGAGAATTATAACAGCCTGATTTTCACAGTTTGTACGAAGGCCCAAACCCCAATAAGGGTGATTTAGTAGCCCAGAATGGGTCGTTCTCAAACTGGAACGAGCCGTTCCAAATCACTAAAATTGCCTACAAATCTTAGTTGAGAACGGGACGTTCCAAACGACCAAAATGGCTTGTAACCCTAGTTGGGAACGGGTCATTCTGGTTTAAGAACGGACCGTTCCAAACATGGCTGTTATGGGTTAAAATGTAACCCCAGAACGGGCCGTTCTGGTTTTAGAACGGGCCGTTCTGGATGTGAAATTTTACACATGACAAAGAGTCCAGAACGAGCCATTCCGAATTTGAAACGGGCCGTTCTAGCCATTCCTGATGCCTATAAATAGCATGCTCTAGCACTCCTAAAAACACATTTTTCAGTTCTGACTTCTTTCAGTTCTGACTTCTTTCAGTTCTACATTCTCTAAAGACCGAGGGGAACCTAGAGGAAGAGACCAACCAGATCCTGCTCTAGTTTCAACTACTACTTATCGAGGTACGGGGTAAAAGAAAATTAATTATATGCAAAGTTACATAAGGAATTAGGTAGAGGAGGAATCCCGTAGGATTATGGGTAATTTTATAATTATTTCTGTTTGAGAAATTGATGATCCCATTAGATTTTGCATGTATTGAGAATTAGGAATATGCCAATAATTTGTAAAAATGATGGTCTGGGAGAGAGAACGAAATCGTAGAAAAGTGCTTGTGAGTTAGGTTTTAAAAAAATTAGGGGTTTTACTATTTGAGTTAAGATTCTACTAAATTGATGATTCAATCAGGTTTTATATTAATGTATAAATGTTATTGTTATATTATTTGGTAAAATTGGTGATCTATATATGGAATGTGGTGTGATGCCTTTGTACAAATGTATACATTATATCTACTGTTTTAATATTGAATTGATAACATGATGTGGCGAATGGTATGTTATAACTTAATTGTTCAATTAATTATGATGTAAGTATGTGAACATGAAATGAGATGTTGTGTGGAATGTGAATGTGATGTAATTGTGGTTCCTCATACTTATGACCAGGGGTGGCACGACCTTGGGTAAGTGATGCTACAGGGGTGGCGTGACCTTAGCATAGTGTGGGATGTGTGAGGCAATTAATACGTATCACTTATGTCAGGGGTGGCACGACCTTGGGCAAGAAATGCTACATGGGTGACGTGACCTTGGATAACATGTTAGGCTTTGTTTGGATTTGAAGATGGAAAAGGAGGAGTGGAAAAGGAAAGATTTGAAGGGAAAGTGAGTGGAAAGTGAGGTTGTTTGGATTAAGGGAAAGTGAGTGGAAAGTGTAGAGAAAGTTTGTGAAAATTTGTGAGTGAATTGATTGATGTGATAGATAAAAATAAATTTTTTAATTGATAATTGTGTAAGATTACTATTTTGCCCTTAGATTAAAAAAAAGTTTATAATTATTATAATTAAAATATAAATATATAAATTTTAACTTAAAAAATAAATGTAAAATATTAATTTAAAAATAATTTTATTTAAATATTTGCTTTAAAATAGATAAAAATTAAAAATTTAATAGATGAATATATAATTTATACTTTTATGCTTGAATTAAAAATGAGTATAATATTATTTATTGTAAATAATAATAATTACAATAAAATTATATTAATAAGTATAATTTATTAAAAATAATAATAAATAATAATAAGAATAATAATAAATATTAGAAAAATAATAAGGATTATAATAAATAATAATAATACTAATTATAATAAATAATAATAATATTAATAATAATGAAAATAAATTATAATTAATCCATTGTCACTTCGGACCCCAAAACGGTGCGTTTTGGCTCACCACGAAAGCTGTTTCCGCCGCGCAGGAAGTCGTGCGGTGCTCGTTGCCGCAGAGCATTCTTAAGAACCCCGACATGGCCCGCGGAATAAGCGTGACCGTGAGTCATGTGCGTAAAAATAAAAGCGTGCCTACGGTGGCTAGAATTGGCAGGGACGGAGAAAGATAGGGGAGAAGGAGAAGTTTGAACTGTGCGCGTGCACCATGGTGTGGAACCAGGCACGTTCGATGAAAAAGTGGGTGATGTACCACGCGTGGCTGGGCGTGCAACGGTGGTTTATCTACGATAACAACAGCGACAATGAGATTGATGACGTGGCGTGAGAGCTTGATTCTAAAGGGTACAATATTACGAGAGTGGTGTGGCCTTGGATTAAAAGCCAAGAAGCGGGGTTTTCCCATTGTGGATTGAAAGCGAAGGAGGAATGCAAGTGGGTGGGGTTCTTCGACGTGGACGAGATTTTCTACCTTGGCGAGTGGAAAAAGAATGCTCTGAGATCAATTGTGGAGAATTTCTCGGCGTCGAAATCCGTTGCTGAGTTAAGGACAGGGTGTCATAACTTCCGTCGTCGGCATAATCGATTATGCAAGTCACATAATCGATTATGGGCTTACATAATCGATTATGTCCTCGGCATAATCGATTATGCAAGCCACATAATCGATTATGGACTTGCATAATTGATTATGTTCTCAGCATAATCGATTATGCAAGCTCATAATCGATTATGTGGCATGCATAATCGATTATGCTTCGTTCCTCTGCTGCATGGCACAGTCTCTGCATGTATGGAGTAGGGGTATTATGGAATTTTCTCAAATCTTAAGTGGCTTTCATCTCTTTTCTTCGCAAAAATGCGAAGACGCCCAACGCCCCTTCTCCCTCTTTTCTTCGCCTTTCTTTCCTCGTAAATCAGTAGAAACAAACGTGAAATTTCCTCGCCTTTCGTTCGTCGTGAACAGTAAATCAATAGAAACAAACACTACCTTAGGGATGGCACGACCTTAGGCAGGTGACGTGACCTTGGATAACATGTCAGGGATGACACGACCTTGGGCAAGATATGTTATAAGAGTTGCGTGACCTTGACATAGTGTTAATTGCAAGATTTGTGATGGATTGCTGTGATTGTGAAATTGTGATATGTAGTTGATGCATGATTGATAAAATTATGATATGTAGAAATGATTGTAAATATTTCATTATGTAATGAGTTATGATGAAATTACATTGTGGTGTGTTTGTATGTGCTTTACATATAGATGTTTTCTTTTCTCACCGTATAATTTGTGGATGTTTTAGGTGAGGAAGATCCGGTTTTGAGTGGCATCTAGAATGCCAACAATTGAATTATGGGTGTGCTCTGGTATTGTGACATCGGGACAGAGGATTCTAGGATATAAATTTTTATATATATCTGGAGTTGTACCTTTTCTTTTGAAAACAATTTGAAAACTCTTAAGTTTTATTTTCAATTATTTTGGATATTGAAGAACAATTATGAAGGTTTTATGTGAACTCTTTTACCAACGTTGAAAATTTTATTCTTTAGTTTATTTACATTGTTACAATATATATGTGTTGGGGTAGTAAGGGTGTCACAATACATACATAGTCAAAGGAAGGAATAATATAAAGGGCAAATACAAATACACAATTATGACTTCTGAATGGTTAGACTATAGCATTGGTATTTTCATACCTGGGGTTTAAGGCCATTTCTGATAGTGCTGAGATCAATGATGATTTTAACAAATACCTATATCAAAAGAAAAAACTAGTAACTAATTTTTCAAAAACTAAATAATAATAATAATAAGAATAATAATAATAATAATACAGAAAAAATGGTGTTATCAAAAGTAAAATCAATGAAAAATAAAAAATATAAAAACTTCTGCACAGAACTTTTAAAGAAAAAAGTTACATTCCAATATCGATGATCATTTTTAGAGATTAGTAGTTGTTTCACCCAACCAATAATAAAGATTGATGAGTAAAGAAAACAAAGAACCATTTCTTTTTTAGTTTTCAAAAACTTCTTTCCCATAAATGAAACTTAATTTAATTGGTCAGAATTAGGCCAAATGTTCTTATACAGTACCAGATATGGATGCATAACAAACTTTAAGTGAAGGAAGCAGAGTAATTGCATTCAGTGACGTGTTTCTCAGAACTTGAGAATGACACCCGTATTGGGTATTGATAACTCCATTATAGAATTTTATCCTCATCATAAAATCTCCAATTCTCCAACGCTAAAAGACTGGTAAAATATTTGGTTTAGGGGACAAGGTGGGGCAGAGTAGAACACATTGACATGCAACCCTTCACACTGCATCATTAGAATAGTTTCAGTTATGGTGAGTAGAGGTTGAGCCAATTAAAAATTCACCATTAACATTAATGACCTAGCTCTAACTACTAAGTGCCATTTGGTTTGGATCAACAAACTTGAAAAAACATGTCACAAGGCAGTCCCAACTCACTTTTCCTCAAAGGAAAAGCTTTAAAATTGACAACATATGTGTCATACCCAATGCCCATACCCGAGTAAAATCGGTCCACGACTATCCAAAGAGTACAAAGTCACACTTTGAAACTCCACTTGACTATTCAGTTAAAATATGTTCCTACCCTTTATTTTTCTGTCAGTTCCTTCAACCAATTTATGCTACCAAAAGGTTGAAAAACTGCTATGGAAGTGGAACTCTTTATAGATCACTAAAGACAAGGTGTTTCATCTGGCATTTTAGAGGACATATTTCTTACTGAAATAGAGCTAAGTTAGATGAATATGGTAACACTTGAATTACATTTTATTTATTTATGGTAGAGGTAAAGAGCTTTTTCCATCTTTTATTCCCTTTTTTCACTTCTTTTGATTAAACAAGGCCTTAAGATGCTACATATATACATATATATATATATATATATACTACAAATCTACATTCTTCTTTTCTCTTGAAAGAGAGTTAAAATGGAGGAAATATGGAGTTGGAAAAAAACATAGTTTCTAAGCTCCATAAATAAAATGTAATTCAAGTGTTACCTTGATCATTAGACTTCCTGTCAATCTTCCAAGTTCTTGTATCATAGCATTTGATGCATTAAAAATTAAGTCAGCATTAATGATTTCTGGGTTATCTATAAGCACAGAATAGTATACATTAAGAAAAAGTCCCAAACATTATTGCTTACTCAGAGTTGTAAATCTCATGTATAAAGATCAGGCTATCCAAGCAATAAATAAGAGTAGGTTTGATGCCAACTTGCTGCTGCAGTTGTTTCATGGTCAGGTGAGAATAACTGCCTTTCACTAGTTGTCTACTATCATGGTGAATTTTGTCAAGAGATAAGACAATACAATGAAATTCTTCCCTGAAAGTTCAAATTCAATTTTAAAGAAATAAGTCACGAAAACAAACAAATCATCCCTAATTATCATTAGGGCTCATAACCTTGATCATAAAAGCAGAACCAAAAAGCAATATTAAGAACATCTAAAGAAGGATAAAACCACAGTAAGTGAAAAACTAATAGATTGAGATCAAGCTTATTATTTAAATGAGGCAAGCCCAAACTTAACAAAATCGACATAACTGCTCATGAGTAGCTCATTTATTTAAATTAATGAGTATTTTCTAGCTTTTGTTATTTATATATTCATTATGTAAATATGTACAATTTTGTTCAGAACATTAAAATTAATTTTGAAGTTTATTTTTTGTAGTCAATAAGTTATGAAATTTTTATTTATTAGATTATGTAAATATAATAGTTTAGTTTAGATTGTTTGAATTTCATAAACCACATGTTAAGCACATATTTCTATATGTTAATTATGATTTAGTATTAAAATATTTATTAAATACTAAATTAATAAAGTTAAAAAATAGATTTAAAACATCATAAAAACAGAATTATGTTATAAATGAGCTAAACAAGTGAAACTCAAGCTTCATTTTTTTTAAAACAAGCTTAAGGTTAAGCTTTCTGATAGACTCATTTATTTTTGCAAGCCAAGCCTAAACTCCAAGTGTTCAACTCGGCTCGACTTGTTTATACGTTAGAGAAATATAACCAACTGTTTGGTACTTATATCTTTATCTTAAGTAGACATGATTCACAAATATAGAAAACAATTCCAAACTGGAAAGATGATAGTGCATTAGCCAAAAACTTAACGTGCCTATCAGTATTACATATCACTTTAGATATCATTGTCAGAACATCTTGGCAATAAAAATCAAGTGATAGTGAACTTGTTTAATACCATTCCCAAATTGAAAAGATTGCATAATAGAAACTCACAAAGTCTTTCTCATGGAAACCAAAATGTTCCTGAAAGATTCAAACTGCTTTTCCAAAAGAGCATCTCTGGTGCCACTGACACAATTTAGAACTCCATAATTGTTTGAATTTTGAAGCACCTGCTTACAATCAGAATTCATACAAGTTACTTCAAGCCCCCTAGTGATTTCTGAAATCAGAACTACAACATTGACAATATCAAGGTCAAGGAAGAAAATAGGGTAACAAAATAAAAACTACAGTAAATGTAGAAGTCAGATTACCTGCAACCTTTCAACAATATGGGAAGCATTCCTAAACTGTGAAATTAAGCAGGATTGAAGCTCATTCCATTTGTTCATTTCTTCCCTAACTTTTCTGAATTTTGACTGAAATTTTTTCACTATCTCTTCCATTGTCAAACCTGAACTGACCATCTACAAGGAATCAACAAGCCTCATACCTTACACAGGAAAAAATAATTGTAAGTTACAAATCCATGCATGTCACTCAGGCCAAGTGTGAACAATTTCTAAAATAATTAAAGACATTAACCCTGTTTATTAACCAAAAAACAAAGGAGGATATTATTAGTAGGACGATGAAAATTTGTACAGCCACATTGAGAGCTATGGAAGAGAAGCAGATTCAGTGCATTCATGCGTTCATAAATCAACACTGTTGGATGAAAAGTTAATGGTTTAAATTTCATATGCATATTTTTTAAATTTGATTGACGGGATAAAATATGATTTGTCTGATCTTCATCCAATGGATTACAATTAGCTGACTGTGTGGACGTGTTAAATTCCAAGGAGTCCAAGTTATTGGGGGAAGGGAGCACAATGCACAAAATAAATGAAGAAATTTAAACAGGCTTCAAAATAGCAAAAAGAAAACCATTCATGTTTTGTGGGATATTAAGTCATGAAATCTGAGACAATACTATACTTCTAACCAATGGGGGTTAGTGTCTCACAACTTGACCAACCAAGGTTGTAATTCTCGTTGAGGGAAGTATCCACATTAATGTCCAACAGATTCTCAAAAAGATTGTTTTGAAAGGAGAATAATAGTAGAGAACCAAAAGAAATACTATACTTCTAACCACATTTAACAATAAATAAAGCATTTCAGCTCTCTCTGTGTCCTTTTAATTCACCATAGATTATATTAGTGTGTGTTTACTTTCTCAATCAACAATATTTGCTAAGAAAAGTTAAGGCATGCGACACATGTGAACATTAATGAACTCATGAAAATAAGTACATGGTGTTATTGAATAGAGGATTGGAAAAACCTTTTTGATTATGCAAAACTGGGGAATGGATTTTACGCACTTCTGTTTTGTGATTTCCCTTTGGTCTTCTGCACGCTTCTTTGCTGCATGCTTTTCAGTGGGAATGAGTTTCTCGAAGGTGAAGTGAGTTCAGCTTGTCAATTCATTGTTTTCTAAGAGAAATTAATGGTTAAGAATAAAGAAAGTGTAAAACTGTCATTTTCTGGATGTTGATTTTCTTTTTTCATTTTCCCTCACTCATGTTACAGAAGTCATGTTCATTTTCTCTCCACTTTCCACATGTAGATCTCACTCTCATTTAAAATTTAATTTGATTTAAATTTTGATTTGAATTTAGTCAGCTAAAGCTTACAAAGAAATAAAGTGGAGCATTGTACTCACTAGACACAAACACAGAGGAATCGAAAGCAACTCATCCACAAGAAATGAGCTCATAGTTAGCTTGCTTTTATTCTCCTCTTCAGTTGCCTAGGCATAGAGATACCTTGCCAATTAGGATGAACTGATGAAGTAATGAATAAAAATGTCGCCTTATAAGCAATAAATAGTAAAAATTTGAAGACATACACGCTTAAAGAAAGGAAGGCATATTGACATATGAAAGGAGCAATCCAAGAAATAAATAGCAAATACTTACATATAAGCCAACACCAACTGAAGACCAGCACCAGACCCAAATGAACATCCAAATCCCACACTAAACCTATAAGTTGAGTCTTTAAGTGACACCTAAAGTTTTGAACAGAATTAGTTTCTTTTTATTATTTAATATCAATGTTTTGATCATTACATGGTTAATCCCTTTGTGTAGGGA